TATATATATATATATATATATATGAAAATATTTAAATTAATAATTTTTGTTTTAAACACAAATCAATAATACTAATTATTGATATATATTTGGAAGATAAAAATTAATTAATTAGAAACAGTTAGATAAATTAAGTAATTAGTGAAAGCGTGATTAATGGGAATGTTATATTTTATATTTAATAATGCAATTATAATTTATTCAAATATTTTAAAATACATTTGAGAAGGAAAGCGAAACATTTTTTTCTTGAAGAACGAGTTTACTCGGAACAGGTTCAGACGTCAGCGTCGTACATATAGATATTACGGAGGTGAAAGGCATGCTGAGATGCTTATTCGTTTATACTCATGACGTCGCGAATCCGTAACATTAATCGAATAGACATAATCAAGGAAAGGTGAACGATTGCGTAACTGAAATACTTATTGTTAGTATATACTTAGTGAAGGCAAAAGGAATAAGACTTACCTTCGGTCAGGGCACGAGAAACTGAACCTTCGGGCATGTCAAATTTCAAACTGTGGCTATTCATAAAAGATACAACTGAATCATATAGCATGTTGAAAATTTTTATCATTCTATTAGTGTTCTCGCGTGGTAGTTCATTCATGATCTCCTTTTCGTTAATTTCTAAATTCCTGCTAAGGCGCTCCACTATAACAATGTTTTTAAACATGAAAAATGTTTACCAATTGTTACCATAATTATTATTAATCTTTCAAAATATTACAAAGATATAATTTCATGAAGTGTAGGTAATTTTTTTTAAATTGCACAATATTCTTCTCAATACTTTTAATATTTTGTATTATATAATTTACAGTAATACATGATATTTGTTATATTTTATAGAACGTATAAATAACAGTTGTAAATCTAATATCATTTGAAGTTACAAGAACTTACTAGGAGTATCTCGTACGAAAGTCACGCCATCGATGATTTCGATGTTGCTCGATCGAGCCGCTCTGTTAAGAGCAGTGATAGTCTTCACGAACATGCAGCTGAAGAAGGCATTGTCGTACTCCAAACAATTCAGATTCTGAGATGGCTGTACGTCTGCAGGTCCTGCTGCAGTATACGCAGCAAGAAGTACTAGTGTCAGAAATTTGTTCATCTTCCTCGTCTAATCACTCGTCACGTTGTCGCGGAATGGAATACAGAGAGGCAGTAGTCGGAGACGGAGCAAACTATTCCCCGGAAAATTTTCGGAACAAAGTGTGACCTGGCCCTGCGGCGCTTGAATCTTTATAGGTGTGCACCATGTAGGACCCTCCTCGGTATCCCCACTCTGGATGAAACGACGTCGTGTATGACGACAAGAAACGATGAGACGAACGACTCATCATTGCAGGTAGATGCCGTCGGCCACCTCCCCAGAAAACTTTCTTCGATAATTTTTAAACAAACGAATGACTGCGTGAAGAGACGTCACCACTTGGGCGGACCTAGAAGTCGCTCTCCCTAACGTCACAGAGAGAAGTTTACGTTTACCACAGTAACCACTTAGAATTTGGGTTAGTAGGGAGATAACACTCATTCATACAGGGATTATTTCTATGTAAGGGAAGGATCTTTGAGAAATAGAATTTTCGTCGTCATTAAATCTAAAAAAAATTTAATATTTCTGATGACACACTATTTTGATTCATCGTTCTATATAGAAAAAAAAATATATAATAATTATTATATATAAAAGAACATACTTTATTCTTAAATTTAGTTTTAAAAGAGTAAATACATTGATACATTTTACTTCTTAAGATACAGCTTCCTTTCTTTTCGTCTGTAAAATTAATAACATTTTGACATATACCACTTTCTGTTTATTTTTCATTTACAACAAATTGTTTAGAAAATTTACGGTGATGACAAACGTGCATTTTGTACCTCGTCGCCATTCACGATAGCACATGCTTCGCAGTCGCGGATATACGCTTTTCTTATGAATAGCATGTGAGTGTGCATTTAGGTGACGCTAAATGTGGACAATTTCTAGTAGTAATTTTCATTTGAATTTGTGACTGAAACAAGCATATACATATTTTGTAGAATATATAATTTTAAATTATATTGTTTTAATTAAAATGAAAAATAAAACAATTATGAAATATAAATAAAATTTATTAAAATAATTCGTTATATCTATTTATGGTTATTAATGATTTTGTAAAGTGCTAGTTTAGCTTTAAATATTTTTTTGGAGCAATTCAAGCATGATAACTTTCTTCATAAAATGAACCGATGCATTCTCCTCTATAACCACGTGCACCAAGCTGCTTACCTTGACCCAGCCACGAGTTCATTGGCAATACATACGAACAGATTACATCTCTGATATAAGTTTAAGGATTTCTGATATAACTTAAATTAATAAATTTTTCACCTTTTTTTTTTAAAATACTTTTATGTCTACATTTGATTACTTTATTATTGTACAATATGTTGTTATTGAATATTGTAAAATATAATTATTGTAAATATATAATAGCATATACATAAGACGAAATATACACGTGGCTAATGCCTTATATTTAAACAAATCGGCATTGGATGTCCGGGAAATATCTGGTATCCGATATTATCCGGTACTTTTTTACTATACGGTCGGATAGCCAGATATCAATAATATCCGATAATATATTTGGCTGAAATTTTATATTGAAAGTTTGCGTTAATGCAGAATTTTATTTTTTTCAGCTAAACTTCTTATACAGTTCATTTTTTTTATTTCACTTTGGGAAGATAAAGAAAATTATTATCGCTATTTTCTTTTGTTTTTTTTGGAAGTCTTGTTTCAGATATCCAATTGGATATCCGAGGAAATATTCAATATCCAGTCGAATTATTGCTTTACTGGATATCCAAAAAGAATGTAAAATTACCAGACACCGGATATCCAGTATGTGGTAATTTTACGATCTATTGTATCCCTATTTATATATAAATAATACATCCATGTATATAATAAACTATTATTATAAGTTTGTTTTGTTTCTTTATTTTTATTACGATTATTTAACTCGGGTCTAGAAAAATTTCCATCATATTGTATAAAAATTTTATTTTTTAATAACATTAAAAGAGTCAAAGGTAAAAGAAGGAATTATGACATTTGTAAAATTATTACGCAAGATATAATACTATATTCTTTTTCTAGAAAATAGAATCTAAATAGTGAATTTATAAAAAATTATAATGAATTTATAAACATATTTATCTTTTTAATTGCAAATTCTTTTAACACACTTCGATATTATTTATTAATTTTATTAACCCTATATTTAAGAAATATACATATATACCGGATTATGCATGACAGAAATTGATATAATGTACTGAAATAACAATAAAGACATCATCAGTGTTGCTTTAGGCAACCACTTGGAAAGGTAACAGATAATTTATTCACAAGAGGTATTTCATTGTGCTCCATACTCTGTTTAAATATTTAACGTCAGATATGGGAGGAACTTTGTCATCTTCATTTAACGGTACCCAAAAGAAGAAACGAAGACAATTTCGAGATTAATTTTCTGGGTTATGATTACCATCGGTTACTTTCTTCTGCATACATTTCAAAAAAATTTGTATGACAATTTTTATCTATGACGAAATTGTTGAGATATTTAAAAAATATATTTTTTTAAACAATTAGTATAATAAACTAATAACTATAATTTATTTCTTTACATAATACATTGCTAATTGATATGATATATCTATCAATGATACACAAACAATTATGAATACCTAACATGCAATATTTGACATTGCCTATGCAAAACTTTTTAATTAATTTATTATACATTAAAAAATGATAATTACGATAAAGCATAGTCCTTAAAAGAAACATTTCTAACTATATACATAGGAATGCAAGAAATTTAGAGAATCGAAGAGCAATGACTCATATTCAGGTCAATTCCTGTCTTTTTTTTCCTCTTATTCTTCACGCACATGAATAATCTGATATGAAAACCCTTCTCCTCTAAGAGATTGTTTTTTCTCAATCATTTATTGTACATTTGATAATGTTAATAATTTTTTGATTGTTTAAAACTCTCACGTTTAATAGATGTTCTTTTTGTAACAATTAAATATTTTATAATATTTGCTTTTAATAGTTAATAGTAACAGTTTGTTGTCATTACATAGAATTATATAAGTATATTGTAATAATAACTCAAAAAAATTTTGTTGAAAATATATTTATTTACATAACTGTGTGTGTGAATTTAACTTCGACAGAGGAATGGAATACAAGAGAGAAATGGATATACTATCTACAAACTAGTTTCTTACGGAATCAAGAAACTTTCTCTCTTTCTTACATCACGCTAGTGAAATGTGTTAATATACATTGTGATTACTCATCTTTGAAAAGGATTTTGTTAGCGATGTTAAAGTAATGAAAGAGATGTATAGAATTGTTTTCGAGATGTACTAAATTAATTATAAATAGATTGTAAATATTTGCGTTTCCATCTGTAAATTTCACCAATGTATAAACAACTTTCACCAATGTATAAACAGTCAGTTATTCTATTTAACGTAATTAACGAGTAGTTAACGCATCTCTACTGTAAAAATTGATGTTAATACAAATAACTTTTACAATACTACATATACATTTGTTCGTACATTGATAATGCTTCTTTTGAATTTATTATATTTACAATGTTTGATCTTATAGTATAATCATATTATAACCAGACGCTGAAATGAATAAATAAATGAAAAATTGATAAAAAATTATTTGAAACTAATAATAAATACATCCTATTCTTATTATTATATATAACGTCAATTCTTTTCAGAATCGTGTGAAATTAAAGTAAAATTGATACTTTTCTACGACAAACATTACTGTAGGAATAAAAATAATCGAGGAACCAACAAAGAATTTTATTGTCCGTTAATAATAATTCTTTTCACTTCTTTCTACGTCGTTCTTTGTAAAATCGATAAGGTTCGAATTCTTGCACGTCGTCAACGAAACCGTACACATCTTGCCGCCTGTACTTGTTGATTGATTCGTAGCTGCTTTCCTTCTGGGCAACCTTTTTTAATCCAACTATGGCTGCCAAGATCAAACTCATCAAACTTAGCACAACAGCTTTCCCACTTAAAACTGCCAATGCCTTTAATGTGATGGGTAATAGAATAGATTTTATCAATAAAAATCCAATAAGCAAAGGCAGAACATACTTATTCAGTTTCTTGAATTTCTTATCTTTACGCCCTGCAATTAATAAAAAAAGAGTTACTTAATAAATACAAATGGATGTAATAAGAAATATATGTATAATCGTGTTATATGATTTTAATTTACTAATCTTTTTTATATTTTATGTAAAACACGGTTAATAAAAAATAAATGTAACATATCATTTACATCCTCATTTGATATAGCCTATACTACATTGCCTGCAACGTTCTACTAAACACTACTACATACATTATGGCTTAAAAGTTTTATATTATTATATATTATAAAAGTATTTTGCTTCTTCGGAAACAGGATGTGCATTCCTTCATCGAAGTATATCTTCCTTATTAAGTACGATCGTCACGGAAGTTAATAAAGATGAACTAGAGTAGAAAGCACTTATGTTTTTGTATCGCAAGGTTCTGCAAACCCGTAAACCCAAAAGTATCATAATATAATGGACAATTGTGCAATTACACGCTTCTTTAGCAACGTTTGATTAATACGCGGTCTCATAATTCTATTTTACATCAAATTATTTAAATCTTTGATTGTTAAACTTGAAATACCACACTAGATTTGCTATCTCTTTGTTTCCCTATAATTTCCTATTCAGATATGTTACAATTTATTGATAAAAAACTTATGACTGTTATTGAGAAAAAATATTATGAAGTTGACGCTTGTATGCCACAATTGACATTTTCACTAAAGTTTAATACTAAATTGCATAAAAATATTATTATAAATAGCTATACATTTTGTAATAATTTGATTTTTTCTAGTATACTTTTTTCTCAATGTAACGATTACATATTACATCTGTATTAATACGCCTATCGTATGTATGTATATCAATTTAGTATATTTTTATATGCAGATATATAATATAAAAATTATTTAAA